TGTGTGTGTGTGTGTGTGTGTGTGTGTGTGTGTGTGTGTGTGTGTGTTTCCTGTCTGTCTCAGTGGGACACTCACTGGGTCTGAGCGTTGATCAGAAAGGTCCTTGTGTCAGGCTGGAGGGTGTGGAAATCCCCTCCTCTGTCATCATGCATGTGTGTGTGCCGGTGGGGGGGGGTTAGAGTATTGGCTTCTAATGCTATTCCTTAGACCAGTGGTTCCCAAAGTTGGGGTCGGGACCCACAGTGGGGTCCTGAAACATCAAGGTGGGGTCCTTAAAAATATTTTGAAATAATTACACAAAAAAATGACAGCTAAGAACAATTTTTTTGCCTTTGTTGTTACAAAATAATAAGACTAGTGTACTTAAAATGGACAAAAATAGCGTAATAAATAATTTTACTATGCTCTTGTTTATTTGACGTGAAAATAATGTTTATCAACCGACAACAGCTGGGGCCACAGGTCTCTGCTGCTGGTATTTTGTGGTGAAAAGTTTGGGAACCACTGCCTTAGACTACTTGAGGATGAACTGCAACCAATAGTTTTCTAAAAAGGTATGAAAAAATGTATTTGTCGACCAAAATCAGAGACGTTGTGCCAGTAACTGCTAAATTTTTTTATTTTAAAACCATAAGTTTGATCATTATGTGCAACTAAATCAGATCTTTTTGCCGCATAGATTAAATGTTGCAGTTTTTTTTGTTTGATTTTTGAAGAAAAAGTACAATTCAAAATATTACAACTACTTCAAAATATAGTCTAAAATTATTTGTGGTATTCCGTACTATATGGGGACAATTTTTAGCATATGTACTTACTTGTGGGGACCAACTGGTACTTGTGGAGATCTCAGCGTAGTCTTCATAGGGGGGAATTACAATGGTGGGTCAGGGTTTCAGTTTAGGACTAAGGTATTGAGTTTAGGTTAGGTTTTGGGTAAGGACTGTAGAAATTAATGGAAGTCAATGCAAAGTCTCTGTAAAGGTAGCTGTACTAGACCGTGTGCAGTTGTTGGAATTCAACACAATTAACATCCCTATAGTTTTAGTTTAAAATGTAATGATCGAAATTCACAGCAGTTTATTTCTGTTTCTATTCAGACTTAATATCTTCTGCTGTTATGAAAACATAAATTAAAAAAGGAACTTAACTGTTTTAAATATACACTTTTTTGTTCAACTAGGTTCGGTGGAAAATATGTTTATTATTGTAATTATTAGGGTTCACAGTAACACTGTTACATAAGTGTCACAATTAGGTCACTCTGGAACTAATCTAGAAAATGTGAGGACTAGGAGTGGGCAATAAATCAATAACTATATATCGCATTAGACACATGATTAATAGCAATAGAAAATTTGTCCAATAGAATGCCRATGACTTCGCTGAACTGAAATCCAGAACCGCACTGCATTCTGGGGGATGTAGGCAGAGKAAAGGCTTCAGCCCCTCGACTTCTTGTGGCTCAGCAAGGTTGGTAGCATCAGCTAARCCCCCTCACTCTTTGGTTAGCTAGCAACAACCTGTTGAGTAACACRCACAATAGTTTCATGTTTCACCACAGTGCCTCATAACTGCTTCAAAATAAAAGTGAACGACGTGGTGTGAAAAGAGAAAAGGAGTTCAACAGCTCGAGAGGAAATTGTGGATAAAAGTGGAAAGGTCACCAGTTTGGAGGATCAATCTGCTTTTTGTCTCCTGGTCCTTATTTCAAATAGCTAAAACAAAAATACTAATCAATAACACTTATTTAGTGATGCATTTTTCAGCCATATCTCCCAACCCTATGACGACCCACAAAGCTTAGTAGTACGAGTAGTTTTAGGTGTTGAATTTCTAAACCCATAAGCCATTTCAGGTTATCCAAAACAACTAATTTTCATAATTTTCCTCAAAGATGTTAAATACTGGAAAGCAACATTTCAATTAGATGTAAACCATTTTCACATCAGAAGCTTTTGGTCATAAACTAAACACACACACACAGACACACACTTCTTTTTTCTCTCCCTCCTCTCATCAGAGTGAGGGAGGGCAGCAGGCACAGTGCCAAGGTGCCTCTCGTGTTTGGAAGAGCAAACAGGCTCATGTCTTTGATGGCGAGGAGATCAGAGCAGGGGACACATTCTACGTGGCTGCGTTAAGGTCGCCACAGTGCAGCCCGGCTGCCATGTTATGCTCTGCAACTAGGAGACCCAGAGCATAAACACCAGGACAACTCACTGCTAATCCACTTCAGTTTTCAAACCGAATCTCCAACCTTGACATGCAGTTGCAGTTCTGTAAAAACAGCTTTACATTAAGCCTAAAATAATAACTTTATTTACTGTAAGAAACATTCAGTGATTGTTGTGACATGCTTCATTTGTCTTCTTGCACTTGTCATTATAAAATTTCAGGCATCTCTATTTGTTGAGCTACCTGATTTTTTTCTGTTTTTTATTTTTTTTATTTTATTATTATTATTATTATTTGGTTTAGTAAAGTTGGTTTCCATTTAGATTTTTCATGTAACATTATGGAGGCCACACTACACTCAGGTATTAGACATGGTGTGAGCTGGTTTTTGACATTTAGACTTGAATTTTCACATCAAACACAAAACATACATTTAAACAACACTTGTTGCTGATAAAAGTTAGAAAGGTACTCAAAGTTAAAAAATGGTTMCGTTAAACAAATTAAAATACCACAAATTATGCCTGTAAATAATTCAGGTTTGATTTTGCTTATGTCTTTGTTGTGGTTGAACCTTCACCCTTGTGTTTAAATCTAACACACACGCTTCAGTGCAGCTGTTTGTAACATCCTGTTTCTCTGTCATGTGGAGCGCTGCAGACACAACTGTTAAATCCTCAAGAAAACAGCAAAAAAATCTACTTTTCAGCCAATTTTAAACAGTTTATTACCTTGTTTCCTGTTTTAATTGTATGTATGTGTTCACTGAGCGTAATTTGTTTGTGCACGTGTAGAATGTGTTTGTGTGTGGCAATGGAAAAGGTTGGAGGTATCTCGTTTCCTGTAGTGTGTGTCTGTGTGGGTGGGGGTATTATGTAAATTAGTTAAGGATCTGAGATTGGTGAAAGTGTGTGTGTGTGTGTGTGGGGGGGGGGGTCACACGCATGTGCACTAAAAAAAAGTTTAATGCATGACAGACAGAGCGGAGGTCAGGTCAGAGCTTTCCTCCTCTCTGACAGCTGCAGGCCCCAGCAGCTCACCACAACGATCCCTCCTCATGATGAAGGAGCGCTGCAGCCGCATGCCGCCGCAAAGCTTCCCTCCCTTCAGCAGCAGCAGCCTCAGCAGAAGGCTCCAGCAGGACCTCTGGGTGGATGTTGCCTGAAAGCTGCTGGGCAGTCAGGCTCCGTGTGCACCGCCTGTTCTGACAGTGTGTCTCTGTGTGCCGGGTGTTTGACAGATGAGGCGTACCAAAAGCTGGCAATGGAGACGATGGAAGAGTTGGACTGGTGTCTGGACCAGCTGGAGACCATCCAGACRTACAGGTCTGTCAGCGACATGGCCTCCAACAAGGTAAGAAAGGCCAAGAGGTCACACATTTTATGTTGCTACGTACCTCTTTACTGTTCAGTTAAATAAGTGATTTATTTATTTATTGGTGCACAAACAGCTTGGTGCTCTTAGAGAAACACATCTGTCCTTTGAGGGATTGTTAAATCTGAATAAATCCTAAGACACCACAGCTGACATTAACGTGACCCAAGCAAGGTCATCAGATTTTCATCAGGACTCAATCTGTTGAGCACATTGAGGTCAGACATGACTACAGCAATCCCTGCTAGCTAATGTTTTCTAAAACGACACAATCTGTTTTAATTCAATTTGTGCAAACTGTTGTAGTTTATGTTTCATGTTTTCTGCCAATCATGCATTCACTGTTCACTGACTCRTCTGCATCACTGATCGTGTGCATCAGGGTTTATTTCCTGCATCTTTAAAAGGCTCCTAACTTTTTTTTATTGGTGGATTATGATGCAAACTGATATCTGACCTAAAGGTTTAACACTTTTTACATTGAGATGTTTATTTGACAATTGTGAAAGTTCATCTGAATTTTATCATTTACTTTCTGTAAATTATTTATGGCAGCATGACGGCTCAGTGGTTATYACTGAAGCCTGACAACAAGAAGGTTCTAGGTTCAATACTCAGTTCGGACCTGTGTGGAGTTTACATGTTCTCCTTGTGTTTGCGTGGGTTTTCTCYGGGTGCTCCGGTTTCCTCCCACAGTTTAAAAACACGCAGGTTAGGTTGCCTTCAGGCTCAGGCCTCTCTTTGAAAAAAGCAATCTGTGATCTTAGTGGGATTTGCCTGGTTAAATAATATCAGACTACATTGTGACTGTAACATTTTCAAAGTATTATTATTATTATCATAATCAAAATTACTTCCAACAGTTAAAATATTTTTGATTTCAAGAATTCTTATGTGTAAGTGTACWGTATGTCTGGCTTCTTGTATTCATCCTATTCTAAATTCATCTTATGCTAAATAACTTTATTTTAAAAAAAGTTTCCTCTAAACRAGAATGTTTCAGGGACACGCTTTCTTGGATTGGTGCTGAATTAATGTCAGAATTCAGCTTTGAATTGAGACTTTTCCAAGATTCTCACCTCAAATATTAGTAGTTTCTTGATTTTTACTAATAAACAAGTTGTGACTGAAAATTGTAACTAAAGGCCCTGTAACACTAATGGTGCGTTCACACCAAACCTGATTTCAGCATCAAGAGCCTCAGGTTTACATACAAAGTCTATGGTGGACGCGCTTCAATCA